CGCCCCGGCGGGGTTCACCCCTGCAGGCCCCCCAGCCCCCCGCCCCTGCCCCGGCGGGGCTCACCCCCACAGGCCGGGCTGGCCCCGCTCCAGCGGGGGCGGCTGACGTTGAGGCAGACCAGCGTCTCCTCCCCCCGCAGGCGGAAGCCCGGCTCGCACTTAAAGGTGGCGGCGCCGCCCGGGTGCAGGTCGGTGACGCTCACGTCCCCGTTCTCTGGCCGGCCGGGGAAGCCGCAGCTCAGCAGAAAGGCTGGGGAGGGAGAGACACGGGTGAGGAGAAGAAAACCATTTCCGTCTGGAGGACAAAAACCGAAATAAAATAACTGTCTGGGGGACAAAAAAAATTTTGTTTTTACTCTGGAGCTGCCTATTAAAGGGGAACTCCCCAGCTGCTTGGCGTCTTAAAGGGATGGTGCCGTTGGAGGGGAAGAGGAACATTTGTTGCATTTGGCCCCCGTTAAAGGGACGGTGGGAGTCATCTCCCTGTTTGCTCTTAAAGGGACACCACGATTCGCTCCTCCCCTTTAAGGGAACATACATTTGTTCCTCCTCCCCTCCCTCTCTTAAAGGGACGGGGGACTTGCACCGGAGGACGGTGGGACTCACCTGCGTCTGCCTCTTTGCTGGGAGGAGTCATCCCCTTTAAGACGAGGGGGGTCTTTCAACCATTCGCTTCTTAAAGGGGCGGCAGCCAATGTAGACCCCCCACCCCCTTGCTCAAGGGGCAGAGGAAACGATCCAATGCCCACCCCTTAAAGGGGCAGGGAAGCATCTACTCCCCCTCTTAAAGGGGAGAGGGCAAATGTCCGCTCCCAACTGTTAAAGGGGTGGTGGAAACAGTCCCCTCCCACCCCTTAAAGGGGCGGTCCTTACCCTGGTAGTGGAACTTGAAGACGCTGGGGGGGGGGGCGTGGTAGCTCTGGAAGTGAATCAGCACCTGATTGGTCGGGCTGCGGATCACCTGACCCTCCACCATCAGGGACTCGTTGGCCAGGACGGCCGGCGTCTCGCCGCCCAGCCCCTCCACGGTGAGGGAGTCGTCCTTGGACAGGTTCAGGGTCTGCACCTGGGGGGGAGCAGGGTCAGAACCAGGATCCCGATGCCACCTGGAGCCCCCCTCACCCCCAACGTCCCCCAACCGCCTCCTGCCCCAACCTCCCCAGCCCAGCCCCCCGGACTGGCCCCTCCTGCCCCCCAATTGTCTCCCCTCCCAGTCCAGCCCCCACCAGTCCCTTCCCCCCATCCTGCCCTCCCACAGCCCTGGCCCAGCCCCCCAACATCACTTCCCGCCAAACTCCCAGCCCCCTCTCCTCCCTGCGACCCTTACCTGCACCTCAACCCCGTAGCCCATGTAGACTCGGATGCTGTAGGTACAGTCCAGCCCCCCATCGAACGCGGCCCCCACGTAGTCCGGGGACTCCACGTAACCCTCCACCTCCGAGATGTTGTTATTGCAAAGGACTATGGGAAGGGGAAACTAAGTCAGATAAACCTGGATTTTTTTCCCCCACCCCCCCGAGCCAGCCAATCCCTGCCCTCGGGCTGGAGCCGGCTCCCCCAAGAGCGGAAAAGCCCCTGCTCCATCCCCTGCCCCACCCCAGCCAGTCCCTGAAGCCCCTTGAGGACCAGGGCCCCCCTCACCAGGCGCGTGCACCGTGGTGATGGTCGTCGTAGTGATGAGCGTTGTCGTGGTTTCCTCATCGCCCTCTGGGACGTAGGTTGTCATGGCGACATGGCCCCCTTCATCGCCCCCTGCGGGAGGGGGCAGCAGGCGCAGGGGGGCAGCGGTGGAGCCCGGGGGGGTGGTGAGGAAGCCGGGGCCCCCCGGGGTGGTGGGCTGGGGGGGCAGCACCACCGTGGTGAGCGGCGAGGCCGCATCCGTGCCGAGGACCCTGGGGTCCAGGCGCTGGGGGGGCGACAGCGAGGCTGGGGGTCGCGGGGCTGAGAGGCTGCCTGGGGGGAGAGGGGGGCAGGCAGTGAGAGCGGCCCAGCCCCCCCAACTAGCCCCCAGCCCCCCCATCTCCCCCAAGCCCCCACCGAACCCCTCCATCGCTCCTGAGCCCCCACCCTTCTCCCCGGCCCACCTCACCCCATCTACCCCTCTCCCCCAGCCCCCCATCTCACCCAGCCCCCCCGTCCCATGTATGTGCCCCTCCCCGCACTATTTCCAC